ATATTTAGATTAATTTTAAGTTTAGTGACACTGAAAATCCTTTAAATTACATATTATAAATCATATCAAAGAGTGAAATGACTTTTATCTGACAAATCAGCCATTTTAGGTAAATTTTGGCCGCCATTTTGAATTTCCGCCATCTTGGATTTGGGGAAACTAGTTTTAGAGATTATTTTTTCAGTTCAATTACTAAAAAACCTTATATATGATATATTACAAGCCATACCTTGCGTGATAATCACCCATACTATCTGGAAATTAATTTTTCGTCAAATTCTGGCGGCCATTTTGGAAATCAGAAAAACCCCAACCGAAAATGACGTCACAGAAGTAAAATAATCTCATAATCGTCTTCAGTGACAAATTTTGCCTCAGAAACAACCCGACCCCAAATTTTGTTCCGATTGTGACACCCCTAATGACATAGCTGCTGTGGACGTATGTTTTGTTGCTGGGCAACCTATATTTATTTTAATGTGTTGTTATTTTTTAAAGGATTTGGAAGAATATTGCCGGAATATACCCAAATATGGTATGCAGCAGAATAATTTTCAGTCATGGAATTTATTGTAAGTATTTTTATGATAATAACCTGACAACGATCGTTCAGGGAACCACAGTTTCTCAGTGAGTAAGACGTTGGCCATGTTCAATCCCATGTTGACCTGAGAAGTTCATCTGAATTTTAAGGCGTGGTTCCCCCTCGTCAGTGGTGTAGGATGCAGGGCAATTCAAGGGACGGAAAACTGAGATCATGTGTACACATTGGCGTGCGCGTAAAATAACCCTTGCCAGTTGGAATTCGATGTAAGAATAGGCAGTAGCGCCATTGGCAGGACAAATTTCACGAATAGTACACTACGTGTTGTATGCCCATAGCCTAGTCTTCATTAGCCCAGTCGGAGCAGAACCCCATTTCATTTTATTTTACCATTGTTCAGGTAGTAACTTTTGAACTCTTCTCAAATCTGTATCAAGCCATTACTCGTTGCCTCCTTTGTACTAAGAATATTGCTTCCACAGGTTACGTGCTATCTTAAAGCCAAAGCCGAAGCCACGGTTAAGAAAGTATTCAAGAAGGCACTCGAGAAAGCTGTCAGCTGGTGTTCCTTATTGACCCTTCTAACCAGCTTGACAGAGATACAGGCAAGTAATTATTTAAACTTTGTGCAAAAAAACCCAAAAGTAATTGTCTAAATACACCTGATTCCGACGCGTCATCATTTCATTATTTGATAGGCGTATAGACAATACCACATGCTGCCGATGATTTTAATTTGCATGTGTATCTGAAATGTTACAAATTGATGTAAAGATAATTCGACTTACTGTCTATATCCTAGTATTGGAATGACCATTAATCATATGGTGATAATTTTATAAGAGCGCTGTATAAATAATGATGGATCGCAGATTGCTTGAGAGTTTATGTGCCATGTAGTAGGGGTGTAAATATGTACCCGGATGGTTTGTTCCTAAGCTCTCTTGTCTTTTATTGCCACTCCATCTTTCAAAGAAAGCAGCAGCCTATTAAAATAGGTGTCTCCACCAGTCTCTCTGTCTTTCTCTCCGTTAAACTTTTTGCCACAGAATAACTCTGTTCGTGGAATGTCTTGAATGAGTTAGATGATTAACTATTTCCGCTAAGTATAAGCGACCCAATTCCCCCCGGTCATCTTGATATCGCCCTGAAAATGTTGATGTACTCTGAACTAGTCTGAACTAAACACAATTTGGGTTTTGTTTTTTCTCATATCTATTACTGCCCTGTTTGCAATATATTTAACATGTATTTAACATATTTTTCTATTCTCTTTAAACTCTGTAATATATTTGATATGGAGCGCGGAAGCATTATGGGTTATACCAGAAAGTGACAGATCAGTATGGGTGGATTTATACCAGGAGAAGAAGCCCGATCCAATTTCTGTCGCCACAGTACGTCCTATTATGGAAATGGAATGGTAGATGAAACCGTAATAGAGGCTCGGATTTCTGTCGCTACAGAATATGGAATATCCAGGTGGAATCGTACCTGCCATCAAATTGAATTAAAAGATTACGCATCCACAATTGAATTCTTGGTATGTTGAATTTCACTCATTTAAATTTAGCATGGTTTATGATTTGTACAGTTTTTACACGCCCACTTGAAAATGAGGTCGTATATTCAACACCCCCTCAATCCGTCTGTCCTTCCGTCGTACACAAGAAGTTTCAGCAGCATTGGATTGTACAGCACAGGAACAAAGCTACAATTACCAATGAAGGCATTGACAGAAGAGTATAAAGTTACAAAGACAAGACAGGTTATGACGTTGAGAGACAGCAAAGATGCTAAAGTGAGAGGAGCCAAAGTAAAGATCAGGACAGGAAGAAAATGGAAAGCAGAGGAAGCAGTTAAGGAAGCTGAGACTAGGCTAAAGCACAGTGTTATCGTTGGTGTAACAGCAGTTGGTAGACAGGGATTTGGTATGACAACAAAACCAAGGTGGGATACAGCAAATGAGAAGGGACGGAGGGAACTGGTGCAACAGGAAATACGACAGATGGAAGAAGAGAGTAGGAATGTTAAGGCAGTAGGAATGAAACAGCAGGGTAGTTGGTTGAACTGGCAAGGAGCGAGAAGCAGGGCTTTGACCTGGAGCGAGATTTGGAGTATGGAGGGATACAGATTGAGTTTTCTACTAAGATCAGTGTATGATGTTTTACCAAGCCCATCAAACCTCTATACCTGGGGGTTGATAGAAGACCCAACGTGCACCTTATGCAAAGACAAACCAGCATCTCTACAGCATGTGTTGTCAGCATGCCCAGTCGCATTGAAAGATGGAAGATATACATGGAGGCACGACAGTGTATTGAAAACAATAGCAGCAAAGTTGGATACCACCAGGAGAAAGAAGAGAAAGATGCAGAAGAACATCACATTTGTAAATTTTGTGAGGGCTGGAGAAAAGAAAGACATCCAGGCAGAAGGTTTAGGGATACTTGGAACAGCATCAGACTGGCAGATGACAGCAGACATACATCAACGCATGAGTTTCCCAGCAGAAATAGCAGCAACATCGCTAAGACCAGATATAGTCATTTGGTCACAGGGAACTAGGCAGGCGGTCTTGCTGGAACTGACAGTCCCATGGGAAGACAGAATAGAGGAAGCTTATGAAAGAAAGATGGCAAAATACCAGCAGCTAGTAGAGGATTGCAAACAGCGGGGATGGAGGACGTGGTGTTTGGCAATAGAAGTCGGATGCAGGGGCTTTGCAGGACAGTCAATGTGGCGGGCACTTAGGACCTTGGGAGTAGTAGGAGCAGAGAGGAAGAAACTGATTACAGAAGTGTGTAGAGAAGCAGAAGTGGCATCACAGTGGATTTGGAGGAAAAGAGACGAAGTGTGGAAAAGTACAAAGTGTTAGAACAGCATTCAGTTACAGAAGAACAGCAATGACATCAGCTGAGACATCGGAGCCGTGTAGGCCATCCAGTTCCAGGTTCAGATTGATCACCTGAGCCGGCGCACCTCTGGAGGTTGTTGTGGATTAGCGCCGAAACAGCCAAAGAAGGAGGACCCCACCTGATGATGGAATTGGATTAGCATTCCTTTGATGTTTACAAGGTAATAATACAGACTACCATTCGATCGTTTCGATATTCATTTATGTTGACTTGTTATTTACATTATTGGGAAGAAGAGAGCGAGAAATGGGGTTTAATGTCCACTCGCCACAAACTAGGTCATTTCAGGACTAACACATGGTTCAATTTTATTTGAATAATTCGCATGCTCGGAGGGGTCTTTAGCAGTGGGAGGAAACTGGGGACCCGGAGAAAACCCACGAGGTTGGACTGGCGGCCCTACTTTGTGTCACATACAACAGGGGAATCGAAACCACGCCAGTTGACCTTATGATACACGGCCAGCCAACCGCCGCCCTATTGGGACGAAGACACCTCTTTAATTTTCATTAATTACTTCTAGAACCTTGTGAAGTTATTATCCAATCTGTATTGAATTATATGCATTATTTAAATTAGTGCAATAGAGAAGCCTATCGAATTTCAACAATTTCTGTTTATGACTTCTAGAGTTACAGCCTTTGTTTCACTTTGTTTCACTTTGTTGAACCTTGTGAACGCTACAACGACTAAAGTTAATATCCGATATGTATTGAATTGATATGCATTATTTAAATTAGTAGGCCTACGTCAAAGAAGCCTATCGAATTTCGACAATTTCTGTTTATGACTTCTAGATTTTACAGCCTTTGTTTCACTTTGTAGAACCTTGTGAAAGCTCTAACAACCAAAGTTATCATCTGAGCTGTATGAAATTTGTGTCGGTGCCCTGTAAATTGTAAATGTTCGCACTACTTACAAAAGAATGGATATGCAACAACCTTTGTCAACTGATGTGGGTATAACTCTTTTTATATAACAATCTGTCACTCATTCGCTCAGTTTTATTTAAGTGCACTGTGTGAATCTAATAATTAGCCAAAGAAATTAATTAATACAATATAATGCTATCATTAATTTAAAGAGCAAAAATTCTAACAATCTTGCTAGAATTGTTGGCTTGTTTGAGGGTCATGTGGCATGGTTTCGATTCCTCTGTTGTACGTGACAAGGAGTAGGGTCGCTTGTCCAACCTCATGGGTTTTCTCCGGGACCTCTGATTTTCTCCCACAGCTGAAAGACCCCCATGTGCAAGGGAATTATTGAAATAGAATTGAACATGTTAGTGGACATTAAACCATCTCTCTATCTCTCTCTCTTGTAGCACCATGAGTCTTCTGTCTGACGTGGAGAGCGTCTATGGGAAACCGGTCGCCACATCCTACATACAACCCATGCATCTTTTCTTACTACATATTTCTGTAGCCTTGTGATCGTCTAGAATTTGTCTCTAGCTGTCTTTACTTCTGCTTCACGTTGTGTATTTACTTCTTCTAGTTTCTTAAGACGTTTGTCTTACCAGGAATAATAATGCATAGTTCGCTTCTACATTTTATATAGCACATAAATGAATACAGGTATACAAGCATAGCACAAATTACAATACTATATAGCTAAAACCACTTTTCCACCCTATCCAGCCTCTCGGCTGTCTAGGAACTCAGATGTACCCTCGATCTCTGGATTCTAATGCAAGTCTGCCTTAAAACTTTACTATGATTTATTTTATAAGACTCCTGCAGATCACGCACAGAAAGCCTGTTCATGGCCCTGAACCTGTGCAATTAACGATATGATTGGTTACTTTAAACCAAATGATGCAATTAGAATAATTCCACTCACGTGTAATTCGGTGGTAAATGAGTGACATATGTTTTCGATAAATCGCTCTTTTTTATGTGTCAACTATCAATTACAGACTAAGTTGATTTAAGTATTTTAAGTACATATCACATGTTATGCGAATATGTTATTTCTCGAGCAAAAATTCTACTAAAAGTATTACATTCGTCCCTTTCTTTAAGACTTTTTGCTCGGTATTGGGTAAAAGATCCCTTGAATCCTTTACAATAACCATACCAACATCTGTAGAATTATATAACTATTCATAAATGTAGCAGAAATCTAGAAAATCAACATATATAATTATCACCTCCCCGCCTTCTAAGATTTATGCTAAATGAACAGGTAGGAGACTCTTAAAACGTCTATGTGCTAAACCCTATAATTAATCAGGCAAATATCAATTATACTATACTATATAACAAAAATGTGAAAACACAAACACACATAATCAAAAATCAAAAATCAAAAGTTGCATGCAAAAGTTCTCCAAAAAGTTCATCACTGTAAAATCCTATGAAAATTCACTAAGCCCAAACACAGACAACACAAATTGTCTTTTTAAAATCTTCAAGTGTCCTAATTTCAAAACACTATAACACATCACTAATGTTTATAAAGTTCAGGTTTCACTTCAAATTCTGTCTCAGGAAATCTCAATTTAGTAAACTGATAAACCATTTCTTCTTCTTGGATTTGTATTGGTCTGTTTCAGCTACCATAGTATCAAGTTGAAACTTTCTTTTTTTCTTCTAAGTATGGGTTGTACAATTTTATCCGTCAATCAAACATGTCATTGCCATCAGACCAAGAACTAACTATTCCTAAATTATTAAAACTTTATTTTGCTATTAGTCTAATATTATTATTAATATATTATTCCGAAAACTTACAGTAACTCACTCTTAATTAAAATTAAACTTTATTTAATCATTAATAAACTTTGATGTGTCCCTTTAACTATAAAACTTCAAACTAAGTTTGACCTCTTGACCTAACTCGATCAGTAATGGACAATTTTAGAATTACGTTTATGTTTTTTAATTTCCGTTTCTGTTTTAGAATTCCTACACTGTTATTTTATATTTCACCGTCAGTAATGTGACCTTTTTGACCTAATCATATAAATCTACCATTTTGTATGTGAATTAAAACAAATACATGAAACAAGCCCATGGTTACTTATTCCACATTAGTATCACCTAACAAGTTATTTAGAATAGAACTGTCAATCAAATATGGCCAGTATATGAATGACATTCCATTTCATCCTACAGTTCCTATTCCATTATTAGTATTACATGTATATAAACATTATTTAGAATCATGTTCAAAGCAAGTGACGTGCACTTCACTCCCTCGGAACACCAGTCTATATTCTATAAACAAAACAATTAGAACATACCTAACTATATCCTATATATTATATTAATGCAATCCGTGACTTTTACACACGTCAAATTTAACACAGTGTTAGAACCTATTGTTTATAATAATTCGACCTCATGTCAAATTACACATTCTAATCTTTGCGTACATGTCGACAGCTTAAAGCAATTAGCAGTATATATTAAACGTTAATATTACGTTTCTAAGCAAAAATTTAATTACATAAAATTATATACGGACAAAATCTACCGTATACTCCACTTTTCTAAAAAAGTGTCGCATTCTTAACTTTAACCTCCTATGAAACTCGTATTAATGACTTTGCGATAATCTCACAATTTAACGTGCCAATAATTTTAGTTTTTCCCAGGAAAACTATAACCAACATCCCTAGATTAACCATATGGGATTTTTTACATAACCCAACTTTTTAATCAAAAGTTAAATTACCTAGTTTTGAAACCTTGGACGAGAGATTCAAAATTACACTACTCTACTTATTTAACCACGTGGACGACACAAAAACGCGAATAATAGCAATTCAACCTTTTAGTCAAAAGTTAAACTACGACTAAAACTAAAAATCTTGAGACTTTGGACTAGAGCCTCAAAACTATATAGTATACGAAACAACAAAAAACACAAATTAACGAATCACAGTAGAAACCGCGGCCAACTAGGAAACTAGAGTTAATCACTCACAAATTTCATCCTTAGCTCTGCCGTCGTTGTCACTGCGATCCGGAGACAACATTAGTTCCTTACTTTATTCCCTATTCCGTTTCCTTATTATTTTTAGTTATATCAAAACAGTTTTTTTAAACCTACTCCCTAAACTTTCTCTTTAACTTTAATTTTACTCAAATTTACTACAGGTCATGTTAACCTGGCAATATACACACCTAACCAGTGATATTATATTGTTTAATATACCTATCAATCAAAACTTATGAATGACTGTAATTTATTCTCTATACAGTTAAATTTTAAATACTTAGTTTCTAAACAGATTTTAACTTTAAAGTAATATTATTTGGTCTTTAAACAAATTTAACACATTTAATTTACCAAACAAAATGTATTTACCCAATTTTCCGAATATCTTCACCAGATTTTTTTTCCACCAGACTTTTTCTGTTGCTGGATTGGACAGGTTTTCTTCTTAACGTCTTCAAATATGTATTCTTCTTCAAAAGTGACTTCTTACCCCAAAGGTCGAAACTGTTACGGCAACCAAATAAAATATGTAAGACTATGCAGTGCTATGCAGTCACTGGTTAGATGTGTAAAATATTACGGGAGAACTCCCCACATCCAACGTGTGATGCATACTCTCTTTTGTTCTAATCTTCTTCCAAATTTTCTGCTTACCCTAAAGGTCGAAACTGTCACGGCAACCAAATAGAATATGTAGCACCATGAGTCTTCTGTCTGACGTGGAGAGCGTCTATGGGAAACCGGTCGCCACATCCTACATACAACCCATGCATCTTTTCTTACTACATATTTCTGTAGCCTTGTGATCGTCTAGAATTTGTCTCTAGCTGTCTTTCTGGATTCTGATATAACCTGAGTCTTGTGAAGGGTTGTACATGTCATGTTTATAAAATATATTTGTAATTTGTTTTTTATTTTTCAGATAAATACACCAGCCCACCAGATCTTCAAAAAGAGGGGCCAATTATATTCAAATCTTAAGTCTCTCTCTCTCTCTTTCTCTCCACTATCTATTTTCTCTCTCTCTCTCTCTCTCCTCTCTCTCTCTCTCAATTAACATGATTTACCCCAGGTGAGTAAACACCTTAACTGCTGGACAGAGTACTTGGAAAAATCGTACTTCCCCCTCCACTATTGTGGAGTAGGGTTGAGTAGCCAACTCGCAGCAAATAAGAGTTCACACAAATTTATATCTTCACTATTTCATTTAAATTTAGTTGTTTGTAGACTTTGCACAAATTTGATAATTCAGTGCAGTCTTGAAATCATAACATAATTATTTCATGCGGACATATACTATTCAAAAAAAGTAGGGGATATTTGATTTTGGGGGCATAATACTAAAATATGCAAATGACTACGAAAAAAGTCACTATAGAACCTAACAGAAGAAACATTTCCAGTTACATGTGACGCCCAAACGCACCAATAGCTACCGCATGGAATGCATTTGATGCTTGGGATCATCATGGGGGTCCAACCCAAGATTTGCACGACTCTGACTTTGAATGTTACAGTCATTGTGGCATTGAATTCCAGGGTGGAAACATCAGTTTAATTGTTTTAGTGACCAGAAAACAAATTTTGATATGCGTCGGCTTACCCAAAATGAAAGGTTACGTGCCCTTGGCATGCTACAGATCGGCACAACACAGGCGGTTGTGGCGCGGACGATGAATGTTTCTCAGTCTGTCATAAGCAGGCTATGGTCCAGATACCGTGATACACAATCTCTACAGGACAGACCACGCTCAGGTCGACCAAGGGCGACAACTCAAGCCCAGGATCGATTTATCCGTACCTTGGCCTTGAGAAATCGTGTCATCACAGCAAATCAGATCAGCGCTCGTCTTCAAACAGACACTGGTGTGAGAGTGAGTGGCCAGACGATTCGGAATCGACTGCATAGGGGTCACCTTCGCGCCCGACGTCCTCGCGTGATCCCTTGTTTGAGAGATCATCACATTCAGGCAAGACGTCGTTGGTGTAGGGATCGTCAACACTGGGATAATCGACGCTGGAGCAATGTGATGTTTTCAGATGAGTCAAGGTTTACTGTTGATTTTTTGGACAGACGTAGGAGGGTGTGGCGTCGTCGAAACGAGCGCTTCCAAGACGTTAACGTCATCAGACATGATCGATTTGGGGGTGGTTCTGTTATGGTGTGGGAAGGCATCACTGTTGCTGGAAGAACGGCTTTACATGTTGTTGCAGGGCGTGTTACAGGCCAGTACTACCGGGACAACATCTTGGCAGTCCATGTTGTGCCGTTCGCACGACGTCATGGCCGCCGTTTCATCTTCCAGGATGACAACGCAAGATGTCACAGGGCCAGGATCGTTACAGGTTACCTCCAACAACAGAACATCACCACATTACCTTGGCCAGCACTGAGTCCCGACCTCTCCCCCATCGAGCATGTCTGGTACATGCTTGGACAGAGGTTACGTCAACGTCAACAACGTCCTGCCAATGTCCAAGAACTTGCTGCTGCGTTGCAACAGGAATGGGACAATCTGGACCAAAATGACCTTAGACGTCTCATTAGGAGTATGCCACGTCGGATCAATGCTTGTTTGGCAAACAGAGGAGGATTTACCCGTTACTGACTTGGTTGTGATGCTGTGGTAACTTTGCTGTTTGACCCCGGGTATCATTTTACCCTTATAATGGTCAGTCTGTGCCTTACTTAGTCTAACGATCATTTGGAATAAATCGATGAATGTGAACTTCATTTCATTTTGTCATTTGTTTCTTCGTCAGTTTCATTAGGTGACTTTAATAACACTTAAAAATCAAATATCCCCTACTTTTTTTGAATAGTATATTATGTCAGCCTGTAATGACATTATAAATTCTAAAGTTCTGATGACAAATTTCAGCTAGTATTATAAATTTTCAAGTTCGGGAGACAAGTTTTGGTCTATACCTGGTTATATCTAGTTATCATTCGGTTTATTTCATCTTTCATGATAACACTACTAAATAAAAACAATAATGAAATACTGAAACAATTTAAATTTCGGTGAATTCTCTATACCTATTAAAGATGCATTATTTAAGGTTTTATTTTGACTTCAAATGATATATAAATTAATATTTAGACTATCGGATGGCACAGATGTAAAAAGATTGAAATACACACGCCATTTAATGATTTAATTTTTAAAAAATGAGTCTCGATTAACAAGAAACGTTGCTACGGTAATAAACAAAATCTATGTCAAAACTTCAAACAGTTATAAAGTCACACAGAATCAAACAATTTGAATGAAATTTTCAATATGATTTAGTTCTGAATGATCTATTTTTGAACTATTATAGCAAGAACGGTCAACTCTATCTGAATCTTACATAATGCATCTTTAATTGTGTAATCCTGATTCTATTTTTATCTTTTGAATTTCTAGTTTCTGTAATTACAGGCCTGGAAAAAAAGGTTTCAGATGTACCTGACAAAATGAAATGGTACCGGACATTTTCAACTTAGTGCCGGACATGTATTAATAATATCAATGAAAAGGACAAATCAGCGCTGGACAAAATGACAGGCACCAGAGGCTTTGTGTGCCTGACATTGTCTGTGACAGGGGCCTTATTTCCAGGCTTGTAAATTTCCTATTTCACTATCCTATATAATGTTTTAAATTATAACAATTTTTGTAACATACATATATATTTATTTATTAAATTATACATTTACTTCAAATATTTAGTTTATTGCGTGTGGTGCAAACTGGTTTTTTATACGCCCACATTTTCATGTGGACGTATTATGCCGTCGCCCCTGTCCGTCCGTCCGTCCACAATTGTTTGTGGACACTCTACAGGTCACAATTCTTATCCGATTTTGACGAAATTTGAAATATAGGTTTATCTCCAAAATATCACGGCTGCTTTCGATATTGGCATGTATCGAATCGAAACTTCATGGATTATGGCCCCTGTTTGTATGAAAAATCACGTTTTTAGCTTGTGGACACTATAGAGGTCACAATTTTTATCCGATTTTGTTGAAGCTTGAAATGTAAGTTTATAACCCAAAGATCTCAGTTCCTTTCGATATTCGCGCATATCGGACCGTAACTTCCTGAATTATGGCTCCTGATTGTACGACAAATCGCGTTTTTAGCTTGTGGACCCTATAGAGGTCATAATTTTTATCCGATTTAAAAAAACGTATTATTATATCACCGTTACACCCTAAGGACAGCTAAGTTCGAATTTCGAGAAAATCGGCCCAAAACTGACAGACAAAATGGCCGCCCCTCGTTCTCAAATAGCGTAAAAATATGATATATCAAGGTTGTGGACCCTATAGAGGTCACAATTTTTATCCGATTTTGTTGAAACTTGAAATGTAAGTTTATAACACAAAGATCTCAGTTCCTTTCAACATTCGCGCATATCGGACCATAACTTCCTGAATTATGCCCCCTGATTGTATGAAAAATCGCGTTTTTAGCTTGTTCTCTATCCATCCCTCGAAAATGTGGGCGTATTCTGCCTGGCAGCCGCTGGTTTCTTTGTAAAATTGAAATGAAATGGGGTTTAACGTCCTACTGATCTGCTCCGACTGGGCTAATGAAGACGGCCATGCGCCATACAGTGTGCTATGAGGGACATTTTGCCCGGAAAGTGGCGCTAAGGCCCACTCTAGTATTGAATTCTAACTGTCAAGGGATCTTTTACATGCACGCCAATGTGTACACAGGACCTCAGTTTTTTGTCTCATCTGAACAACTAGACACATGTTCTTGTCGGGGCTTCTGTCCTGCACCACGGACAAGGGGAAACCACGCCGGAAAACCTTGATGAACTTTCACGGCCAACAGCGGGAGCGAAAACGGCGACCCCAAGGCTAGCAAGCCAGCGTCTCACCCTCTCAGCCACCGTGGCTCTGACTTGAATGCAACCCAGCTTTGTGAAGACCTGAGACTCGACTTGATACTATCTTCAGCGACTTGGGGCTTGATTGCGAGTTGAGGTACCACAACTTCTTGCCCTTTTGGTAATTGGATAACCAATAGAATTTTAGTATTGGTAATTGGAAAAATCGTGTAGTGTGGATGAACATGGCAGCTTTGATGGACACACCACACGTCACCTTGCTACAATATTATAGAAGGGACTGATGGGTGGGGTGAATGAGGGAGCGTTGGGTTAGCTTGAGCAGATATGTGGGTGGGTGTATGAGGGAGGGTTGGGTTGACTGGGGCAGATAAGTGGGTGAATAAAGGGTTGGGGTTGGGTAGCTGGGGTGGATATGTGGGTGAAT